CTTTACGGATGATCGAGAAGTAGTAGCTATGCTAATAGGCACCTTTACTCTTCCCTTTACGGATGATCGAGAAGTAGTAGCTATGCTAATAGGCATCTTTACTCTTCCCTTTACGGATGATCGACAGGTTTGTGTTTGGAAAAGCAGTAGTTTGCGATATGCTTATTGCAATATCGTGGATTATGATGCTTTCAGTGGTGGCTCGGTTATAGGGTAGTAAGATATTGGTGTAGAGAGATGTAAAGATCTTACTGCTGGACGATATACTGATCTGATAATAGACCCAGTTGTACGATCTTTTTTTTTTTTGTATAATCGAATCAGATTTTGTTCTGATGCAAGATAATGTTCTTGATTACATTGGACTATTTTAATCATGAAACCGGTGAGGTTATGAACTTGCCATCAAGAAGCTGTGATATAAATTTTATATAACAGGAAGGTTAGTATTACATTGACTGAGAAATGGGACATAATCCCCCATAGTTTGTCTGACGACTGATCAGAATATGCTCCTCAGGTGCAAACACTTTATGCAAACCAGAGAGGGTCCTAAACGTTTTACCGGGTATTCCTTTTTGTGGCTAAATGTATTTCTCCGGGCCAGTTGGCTTAGTATTTATTATTCACAGATTATAACAAATTATTAATTACAGAACTGAGGAAAAACAAGAGAATTGTACGTTTCACAAATACATCATTTATTATGACCATGGTTTCGCCAGTAAAGGCATCATCAGGTACAGACTGAAAGGTTTTGTAGCAGGGTTTATATATATATATATATTTAAACAAAGAACTAGAAGTGACCTTGACATTCACCTAGATACAAGTGGGGCAAGAAGAGGGGGAGGAGCTTAAGTTTTTACTCAATTCTGTAATTATGGAGTTTCACCAAGTTTTGACGATTTCAAGTGTAACTTATTAATTTTTAATGAAACTGTCCTATTAACAGTATTTAATGAACAACTGACGGTTTCAGCTCTGTTCTTAATATGTATAAAAACGAAGGTAACTATAAAAATTTCTCAATAAAGTAAATATCACTCAAAAAGGAGCTGTTGAACATTAAAAAGTTAAAGCTTCTTTGTGTCATTATTACTTGTTCACTCTTATACAATTATCTATGTAAAAAAAAAAAAACTAAGGATGATCTTATGTTTAATATCACAAACTTATTATTGGCTCATCTCTGTGCGAAGTTCATGATTGAATATTTCTGCTGTTTAAGACAGTGATCTTGTGGAGTTTAAAAATTACAGTTTCTGATTCCATTTGTGTTTACTTATAGTGTTTGCCCTCCAGTGCCACAGCGGTATGCCTGCGGACTTACAACGCTAGAATCCAGGTTTCGATACCCGTG